ATGAATTTTCTGACCTTTGCACTTTCTATGCGAAAAGAGAATTAAATTAACGCGGGACTGAGAGGTCCTGCCCGTCTATAGAGACATTTTACGAGAAAGTAAACATTTTTCAGTGTTTGATCCATATCGGTCCAGTTTGAGTCAAAATAGCTCACTCAGTTTCGTTACTAGGCAACGAGGTCAACATCTTTGGGGAAGGAAGGGGCTAATTCCCTCGAAAATTTCGTAAGAATGAAGGGAAATACAGTTTCTTGCGTTTGCTTTAAGCGTTTTGGCTCATTTTAATGACTGTGTTCGTCAGTTAGTGTGAAAAGTTCGTCGAAATTTACGATGACGGAATCTTCGCCTCTCATCCCCTGTCATCCATTTTGTTAGTCCTTTTCCCATTTTCATCTCCGTCCCTTCGAAACATGACGTCACAGGAGAACAATGAAAAATAATTCATCCCGTGCGCCATGTTATTTCGGCTTTTCCGACGAGACTCGCTACCATTTGAACAGAGTGCAACACGGATTACCGCTAAATCACGTTGACTTTCCAAATCACTTTTTTTCAACATTCATAAAAAAAATTTCCCTGTTTCCATCTTTTACTACATCACACTTTCTCGTCTCAAATCCCATTTTATCCTTTGAGAAGGACTCACGGGCAAGGCATTGACCCAGAATCCAGTCGAAATTTATCCTCATCCACGAACAATTACTTGTTTTTTTAAGCCTTGACTTTGTCCATGGCAACGAACGGCTTTCTTTTGTTAATCGCCGATGAAGGCCATTAGTTGAGAATTCTGTTATCAGATGTCGTTGTTTTTGAATTTTTGTTCTCGGAACATTGCACTAAATACGATGTTCTATCTGTACGAACATGTTTCGATAATCATAATGCAAAATAAGATAAGATAAAAGACGAACATCTAAACTACTCGAAAATGAAGTAACTCTCGCCTATTCAAATTACAAGTGACGTGTCCGTTGAAAATGTATTTCCACTGAACGTGCATATAAATTAATCAAGAAATAAAATGTAACGAAGAAAAACTTGTTTTGTCTCGTCCCCTGGAATACGGGGCCTTGGGAGGGGGGGAGAGGGGGCCCGAACACCTCCACACCTTCAAGACCTAACGTCGGACTCCGTGGACGTTTGTGAACACAGTAATAGACCTTCGGGTTTCATGGAAGGTGGTGAGTCCTGGGCATCTGAACAACTATCAGCTTCTCAAGAAGGCCTTCGCTCCATGCAGTTAAACATTGAGTCTTCGGGAATATTCTGTGTCACTTGTGGGAGGAAGAATCGATGAACGCCCCCATCTGGGCCATTGCCAGGGTCGTGTTGCCATGGCAACGCGGTAATGTCATCGTCGCTTTCCGGGGCGTGGAGGAGTCGATGTCTGCCTCACGGACCCGTGTTTGATGATGACGTATCAGCTGTGCGTTATTCCGCGAACTCGACGATGTCAGAATGACGTACTGGGTGGCTGGTTACGAGCATTGTACTGGTGACACGGGGCAAAGGTGCAGAATATCTCGGAAGCCAGCAGCGAGGAACAGAATTTTATGCATTTCGTGGTTTTTAAGACAAACCTTGGGGTCACTTGGCTGCCCACGAAGAGCGATGCCTTGGCAGGGGCTTGGCGTCCGAGGCCTGGAGGTAACAACTTCGAATTTCAACGCAGAAATAGTCCTGCAAGTGTCCACTCGGCGGCGTGCAGTCCTCTCGCGCGCTGTCGGTCAGTCTCTGCAGCGCGAATCTTGGCGGCCATGATGATAAATTGTTTTTGTGTTTTTTGCTTTTGTTGTCTTACCCTGACCACTCCCAACTGCACGAGTAGCGAGGAGAGGTCGTCACGTTGAATGATGACCCCGTCTGCAGCTGTTCGCGGCAGATTCCAATCGCTTCGTAGCCGAAGACAGACCGAGTTGAAAGAGTCTAGCCGAGGTAGCCGGCCTGTAATAAAACATGGCGCGTAGCCCAAAGCGCCTCTGCATTTCCTGCACTTCTTATTCTGTGAGTTCTTCGAACGAAGAACACGAACGCATAATAAGGAGGTCGTTCCTGTCCGCTTCTTTCGTCGCCTGAAGAACGCAAATTGTAGCTTTCACGTGCATACCGAAAATTACGAAATTATTGCATAATTTTTTCTTTCTTGTCCGGTGTTTTACACGGAGTACAAATCTGCTCGTCTGCAGCAAATGCACGTGGAGAAAAGTAAGTGACGCAGAATTACAAAGAAATGTAGTTTTCAGTTAAAATAAAATGTTTGTAACATGGCGACTGAAATGCCTAAGGAAACAGTCGAGTTCTGTGAAAACACCCGTGAACTTTCGGGATTCATATTCCTGGGAAGCCTGCAATCTTCTACTGTCCCAGGAAGAATTAGCATCTCAAAAGATACATGGAACTTTCCTTAGTATTTGTCACGACATCCTGTCTTTTCAGCTGTGATTTTTTTAACCTTCGTTTGTGATATAAAACTATGTTCTCAGGGGGAAAATAATGTTGACTCCGTGATATTTGCGTGTTGTTCGTGGATCGTCCGCGATATTCAGCGGTACAAGGCTGACATTTTTAAGTTTCATAATCATCTGAGAGACGACAGCGTCACGTACCAAAGTGGACATTACGAAACACATCGCAGAGGCAGAGGCCGTATCACTTCGGGATTCTATTTGAGGCACGGCTGATAAGCGCTGTGCCCTGCCTTTATTATTATTATTACTAGAGCAGGGCGCTCCTTTCGGAGCTCCTGGGGGGGGGGGGGGGGGGGGGGGGGTGT